AATACGGCAAGTTCTTTAAAATAGCCAAGTGTGAGGCAAGTTGGGGCAGTTCCGACTGCCAATGCAACAACAACAGCAACAACAAAAACAAGAACAAGAACAGCCCACGCCCGAAAAAATGCAGGCGGTTGCAATCAACGCACTTGTTGTTGCTGGCATTGTTGTTATTGTTGTTCCTGCTTGCATCCTCTTGTTATTGTTGTAAACTATTTATGCATTTTGAAGTTGATTTGAAACATGAAAAACGAAACGCTCAAGAATTCGAATGGTGTTGTTGTATTCTTTGCGTGTCTGTTTGTTGATTTTATGAACTGTTTTTCTGGCTTCACTCGATGCGCCCGGCAGCAGCAACAACACCAACAACAACATCAACATCAACACCAACACTAAGAACAAATGGAGCAACAACACAGTTGTAGTCTCGTGGCCCTAAGGCCACATATGGTCACCTTAATTTGCCGTGCAACTTGGGGGCAAGAACGTCGGCCAATAATTTATGCGTTTTCCTGAGTTTCGGTTTATTTTTCTAAGCGGCTCGGCGCATTTCAACAGCCACAGACGGAGATAGGGAGAGCTAGAGAGATAGAGAGAGATAGAGGCGCAGCTACCAAGGCAATCAAAGCGGCGCAAGCGGAAATGGCACGAAGGGATGTTGCCAGCCCAGCCAGGTCGCTCACACGACGGGTGGTGGTGGCAACGGCAATATTGTTGGTGGTGTCGGTGGTGCTGGTGACGTGGGCGTTGGTATTTGCCTTTTGGCATAGCCGGCGGCGTCTTTTGGTTCGTGTTGTGCTCAGCGCACGTCTTGCACTTTGTTTACCTTAATGCCGTGCTCGAGCAGGCAAACTAAATGATGGAATGGTGCTGGAGGGATGGGAGAGAGAGTGGTGCTACGCCCAGGAAAGGCGAGTTTCCTAAAAGGAGTTTGTTATGCTACCTTCAGGATATATTCATTCATATATTGTCTTAAAAAGTTCCTCAGTAAAACGTTTGAAGAAGACAGAATCGATTCCTTTTTAAAATGCACTTTATAGCAGTCTTTAGTTAGCTCTTAAATTTCTCTGTCCATTTTATGCTAAGATTGGTTTGTTCTATAAATGAAAGGGCAATCCATTATCTCGTAGTTCAATCGCTTTTATGTGAGTGCAGACTGGACTTGTATATACAATTATATCAGCCTGTTGTTGCATTTGCCATTAATTTTCATGCCAACATCGTTTCATTAGCCCCAAAGCAGACTACAACAAGTTCTGCGACAGTTGTTTCGAACGCCCTCCTCTGCGCTTCACATGACAATTCCCATCCGTTGCGACAGCATCGTGGCGCCCCAATCGCATTTCTTTCGTTGCAGTGCCGCCAGCAATTTTTATGGCGTGTCGCCATGCTCATTTTTCTTGGCAAGTCTATCACAAACTATACTATACGAGTATATGTTCCTTTGCCAGCTTCCTTCTGTGCCTTTAATTTGTGGGCGTTGTGATTTCCTTGGTCTATTGGCTTTGGTACTTGGCTCTTTAGTTTCGGGGCGCCATCTTTTACGAGCATGTGCCAATTTTATGCCGCCATCTCAACTCAACTCAGCCCGGCCTCTTGCAACTTGACACTTCTTTTATGCTTGCCATAAACTTTGGCTTGCTAAGTTTTTACAACCCCATGCAGGCTGTCAATTAATGTTGGCTCTGGGGCGCGACAACCGGCATATAACCCATTAAGAAGGCTTTTGACAAGGTAATGAGAGTTCAAGTTCTTAGTCACAAGTCATGTCTACAAGATACCTATTACTATATACAGTTTTTGGGTGAATTTGAAATTATTTCGAGGTCAGCTACACATTTTCATATTCCACATTAAATCTTATAGTCGTTTCGAAATTAATCATTTCTTTAGTAATTCGCTGTGCCTATATATTTACTATTAACTATCCAATGGGAAACTTGGGTTTGGCACATCGGGAGTTCTCGATATAAATATCAATATTCATAGCTAAATAATTTTAAAAATAGCTCCAAATTTTTCATCTTCATATAGTATATTCCTTTTATATTGTTGTATATTCTCACGTACCATAAATATCTTCATCAGAAACGATTTACAGTCAAGTGCCTCGCCTCGACGATACGAGTGGCATTTCTGATTAACCTGAAGCCGGGAACAGAATAAACCACATATCGAATCGAAAAATGACGGAAAATTAAACATGATTGACTGCTCGACTTGATTTTGTGTGTATTCTTAGATGGGGCGGCTGTCTACAATTATAAATCAATTAACAGTAAATAAAAAAGGGACCAGGTCTATGTTATGAGGCAAGCCCGAAGAGGGCATGTTTGGCATATTTAATTAATTATTGTATTTAAAAACAACAACAACAGAAAAGTTGAATAAACAAACGACTGCCTTCCCATCTAATGTACACTCGTAAGTGTGTGTTGTGTGTGGGTCTTGGGACTAAACATGGTGAGTCGCACACACACACACACACATGTACACACATGCATGGACTTGGATCCCAAATGGCTCTCGTTGCATTTATTTATGGAAATATTTTCATGTTTGCGCTGTGTGTTTAATTACGTGAACATCTCGATGCGAGACAAGGCGGCACAAACTGTGCGGCAGGCATAACAAATGAGCCATGCAACAGCAACAATAACAATAACAATAGCAACAACAACTTGCTATAAACTTTTGCCACAGTTTAAAGTTGCATTCGCCTTAAAAGCGCGCCATTTGGCCAGACAAGTTGCTTGGCATGTCAAGAGTGAGGAGCGAGAGACAGAGAGATAGCGAAAGATGAAGAGAGAGCCAGGCTGGGAGAGACATGCTAACTAGATTTAAACGCCTGCCAAGCACTTGAAGCGGCAGCAGCAGCAACAGCAACAACAGCAACAATAACCAAAGCACAAGGGCCCACAGCCTTCAGCCTTCAGACCTCAGCCTGGCTGGGTAACTCTAAAAAGGATATTTTGCATGGCAGCAAGGCACAAAAAGCGAAGAGAATTAAAGCAGACGATGCAGCAAAAGGCAATGCCAGTAAATGATGAAGACGGCAACGCGTCGCGACGGCTGCTGCTGCTGCTGCTCTTGTTGTTGTTGTTGTTGCTGGCTGGGTGTTGCAAGCCAAACCGGTGGGTGCGGCACTCAACTCGAGTTGCTTTACAGCAGCATCAGTAACAGCAGCAGCAGCAGCAGCAGCTACAACAACAGCAGCAGCGAGCAGAAAGAAGTCAACAGCTCGTTAACGTTAAAGTGGCAAAAGATATGCCAACCAGCCAGCCAAGCAGCCAGTCAGTGAGCCTCTATACTAGGGACTAGCAGGCGATGAGATCGTGATGCATGAAATATCATACAGATTCCTGAGAGTCCTAAAAGCTACAACCAAACACGATAATGTAGACTAAGCTACTGACTGAGATAGAAGATCATGTGTGGAAGATCAAAATGTACAAACAATTAGGATAATGAAGACTAAACTGCTGACTGAGATAGGAACTGACCTCTGACTCTTACTTTATTTTATTAACACGTTCCAAATTATATATTTCGATATTTTTAGAACCTGCTGCCTTGCTATAAAACTCCGAACTCTTTAAATTGTGGCTTCAATTAAATTAGAGACGAAATGTAGAGGCCCCCAAAACCTACAACCAAACACGATAATGAAGACTAAACTACTGACTGAGATAGAAGATCATATTTGGAAGATCAAAATGTAGAGGCCCCCAACAGCCACAAACAATCAGGATAATGAAGACTAAACTACTGACTGAGATAGGAACTGAACTCTGACTCTTACTTTATTTTATGGAACATGTTAAATATATATTTCGACATTTTTAGAACCAGCATCCTATCTATAAAACTCCGAACTCTTTAAATTGTGCCTTCAATTAAATTAGAGACGAAATGTAGAGGCCCCCAAAAGCTACAACCAAACACGATAATGAAGACTAAACTACTGTCTGAGATAGGAACTGACAACTTTATTTTATGCAACGTGTTAAAGATATATTTCGATATTTTTAGTACGAGAAATCCGAGATTTTTAGAGCCAGCTGCCTTGCCATAAAATTCCGAACTCATTTAAAAGGTGCCTTCAATTAAATTAGACACGATTTGGTGTTTTTTTTTCCTCCGCAGATAAATGAAGCAATAGCAAGTAGTTATTGTAAATATTTAAAATAGCTTCTTCCAAAATTGTTGTTAAAATTGTTGCATTTGAACAAATTTTGTTGGCATCGCTTAGAGCTCGAAAAAGAGCAGAAGAGATCTTTTGAAATTACTATTTCTCTTCGTAATTTTAATAATTTTAAAATAAACGTAGATCCAGGCTTACAAGTTCGTATGCAACTATTATCCCCTGGTCTGAGATAATAATAAGATGTGCTGCATATTCACGAGTTCATCTCTAGTTTATGGGCTTGAAATAAAGTCGGGGAAAAATGTATTTTTGCGTTCCCGTATATCGTTGCTACCCATGGCATCCATGTGCAAGGGTAAAGAGCCCCAACAATAGGGCAACAAGTCGCGTCAGCGTTAGCATCAGCTTGAACATCAACGTCTGGCCTGTCCTCGGTTCGGTTGGGTTGAACTGTGTCGCCCACGGCAGTTGCAACAGCAACGGCAGCAGTCAACAGTCAGCTGGACTTTGAAGAGTAAAATTGGCGTTGAAAAGTATCTGCCGCTTTTCACGACTTTGCCGCCTGCTTTGAAATGTGTTCAGACATGGTCAATTGCACAGGGTCAGGGCGTTGCAAGTCCTCGCTCTCTCTTTTCTATTCCCCTCCCTCCCCTCCCTCCATTTCCATTGTGCAGCAAACTAAGCGCAATGAAGTGGCCAGCGACTAGACTCAGATTTGAGCGTCTTCAAAGTAGGGTCATGTTTTGGTCTAAGTTTTTGGTCAGCACTTGGTCTTGACTCGCTTTTTGATGCAAATTTTGCCTTAGATTTTGTATATATTGTTGTTGATTTTTTTTTAAATTTGCACAAACACACTCACCATTTGATCCATACTGTGTTCTCTGCTGTTGGCGTGTTCATACAAGTTCAAGACTTTGTCGCTGTCCCACAACTGTAATGAGATGCAAGAAAAGTTGCCACGATAAGTTATCAAAATGAAATTTTATAGCTGGTTGGTTGGTTGGGTTAGACAACAACTAAGGCCTGATGAGAGGAGTATGGCCATAAAAGTGTATGACTAAATCTTAAACTAAACAAAATGCTTTATGTTGTCATGTTTATGCCAAGTCGTAAAAGATGTTTATAAATTTTTAATTAGAAAATATTAAATACAACACAGCAACAACTTAATTATGTAATGAGCGTGTAAAACGTTGATGAGATTTGGAGCCACTTCTGCTCAGCTATTCCACTTGATTTATGCTGCAGGACGAAGCAGGACCAAGGATAGCGAACAAAAGGATACAAAAAATTAATGCCACATAATTTACTGCCAAGCATCACAGCAGATGGAGAGGGAAAGGGCGGGGAAGGGGCTTGGGATTAAAGACATAACGGCCAGCACAGAGGAGAAAAAAAGAGTTGGTCCCTAAATTGCGGCAAAAAGTTATGTGCCGCTTAGACAAATATGTTAATATTTGGGTAATGAATGTGCAACACTGGCGAGCGTTCTGTGCGCCACACTTCAAAGTAGCAACGTGAGCAAATAACAAATAAACCAGCAAGCAGGAGGAGAGCCAGGGAGTGGGACTGGGTCAGAGGCGGGGGCGGAGGCAAGGCGGCAGCCCATGAAAGAGAGAGCATGTAGGTGTCAGGGCGGACGGGCGGACGGGCGGGCGACTGAGCTGGGGATGAGGCGGCAAGCGCAGACAAAGCAAGACAATCGAGACACACACACACTCATACACAAAGTGGACTACTTTAATCACGCCATGGGATTAAGGGCAACGTGCCGCAGAGATGATGAAGAAGTTGCGTGTGCATAGCTGTATGAGTGCGTGTGTCAGAGTGTGTGTGTGTGTGTGCGCTTGTTGAGCCAAGCCAAGCGGCATGCCATGAAGCAAGCAGCTTGACAGTTGAATGGGAAAAGAAATGGGAGCAGGGATGAGGATGGGGGGCTTTATTTGCTGTGACGCGGAAGACGGTTACAATTTAATTAACTTTTTGTTTTTATTTTTTATTAAAGACGCCGTTTGTCGCTGGAATCATTGCTGTTGCTATTGTTGTTTTTCTTGCTGTTGTTGTTGTTGGTCCGGGTATTTGCTTTAACGGCACTCTATATACAAACAATCCACTGTACAAGAGCTGTAGCTGCTCTCCTCGCTATATTTGTGTTTCTGTAATGCAAGTTTAATCAGCAAAACAAAAATAAAACAAATGAAAAAAAAAATTCTCTTGGCTGGCTTACGCGGTTGGCTATTTGCTTGTGTGGTTGTAGGTGCCTTTGCCTCACAAGATTTGCCTAGCCAATGCCACACAGATAAGTCATAAAAGCCACCAAATGCTAAGAACAACAATGGGTTGGTTGTACTATGTCTCTGACTTTTCTCCGCCTCGGCATGGCATTGCACGGCGTGTCGCGCCGCCTCGCTTTGATTTGCCTTCCCCACCTTCAACTTCTCGGTGTAATCTCTAATGTAACAAAAAACAAAAAGAACAACAGCAACAGCAACAACAACATCAACAAAGATAAAGTTAAGAGCGGCATGGCGCACTAACTAAGCGAATGTCGTCAAGATGACAATTTTTAATTATAAATGCCGCCGCACTTGTGTTTAATTAAAAGACGTGCAGAGAAGCCGCCAAGAAGTCGCAGCCACACAGCAGCAGCAGCAGCAGCAAGTAATCAACTTAGCGATTAATGCATGACCCACGCAAACCGAGTAGCATCGAAAAACAAGTACATACATAAGTATCGATAATAGCTGGAGACATCGAAAGCCATCAAAGAGACGCCTAAGCCCCCGTGTCCCAATTAGACGGCACTTGATGGGAGATTTGAATCTGAATAAAATCAACTTATGGGCATATAAGGGCATGAAATATGAATAATTGCAAAGATCAAAGAATTGTAATCATACAGATTTTATAGATTATGGGAGGACTTCAATTGTCTATCACAGTATGACATGTTCAAGATAATAAGACGAAGCTATTAGTAGTCTTTGCTAAGCCAATCGATGGATGAATGCCAGACAAGGAGTAAAGAGAAATATCAGCAGTACTAGTATTAAATGGAAATTAGATTATCTAATCAAATGGCTTGTTTTATAAAAAAAATAATAGCAATTCGAGTACTCTACGAAATGTTTTTGTAAAAAAATTGCACCTCAGGTGTTAAGAATATTGTCATTAGAAATTAAAATGAGCTAGAATACAAATTTCATCTCGTATTTTACGATCTTCTAGATATAATAGGAAAGATCACAGTCTACTTAGAGTATATCCCGATGATGCTTAAAACATCAAAAGCTTTTTAAATAGTATGTCTATCTAATATATTTATTTTACTTAATTTCTAATGGAAATTTAAAAAGAAACCTTGTATATTTTTATTTAATAAAGCAATTATGAAGAAACTTCATCCAAATAGTTTCGCATAATCATATAATCCCATTGCAAACATTAGTTTTTAATTAGCAAACGCTGCCACTTTGACGTGTGCATAGATTAGATAGATAGATAACTGATAGATCGAACATGATTTTCATATTCTTCCATAATCAATATTAATTAATCACTGAAGTGTGTATATATAGTATGTGTCTTTGCAAAGCAGATAAGCCAGAGAGATGCGGCAAACAAATCAAATTCTAGGAAATGCCCAAAAAGCACAGCATTCCAATTCAAATTATTAATGTGCTACATAAAAATTTTTCTAAAGAAATCTAACCAAATAAGAAAGACGAGCGGACAGTCAGACAGAGAGACGAGCTGTCTGGCTGCCTGAGAGCGGCGGGACATGCGGACGGACAGCAACCTGCCAAGCCAAGTCAAGCCAAGCAAAGTGAAGCCAAACCAAGTCAGGGCTGGGCCTTGCTAATTAGCTGGCAGATGAGCAAAAAGTGCCTCTAAGAGAGCGACTTGTTTCTGTTTTCTGGCTTTGCGAGCGACGCATATGGCAGGCCAATTAATTAAGCACATAATTTATGGCCAAATGTTTTGCAGTTATTGTTGTTGTTCTTGTTGTTGTTGCTGTGCTTTAACTAAAATTTCTGAGCGCGTCTCGTCGAATGTCAACGCAGCTCGTTGAGGCAATCAATAAAATGCGAAATGCGACTACATACTACACAACAAAATGCCAAAAACTCATTTAAAATGCTGAGCGTTGTGCCAAGCACCAAAGAGTAACAACAAGCGCCCGATTCCGATTCCGATTTCGAATCCAATTCAAACCTCCAGCTTGTGTCCCACCAGTGTCAGAGAGTCATAAAATAAAGCCCCAGTCTGACTTGGACGAACAAAAAGTATCAATTTCCAAATGTTTAATTTATGACGCTGCAAAAATTTATGACTGCTTAAAATGACAAAGGATGAGACACAGCCACAGATACAGATACAGATACAGATACAAATACAAACATGCATAGATATAAACTGAGAGCGTGAGCGAGACATTATACATTCTCGTACTTGTACTGTGGCGATGAATATTTACGATGAATACTCGCATGTATCTTATGCCTGCCTGCCTGCTCCTCTTCAACAGTTAAAATGCCAATGAAGCTCAAGGAGCAGCGGCAGCGGCAGCGGCAGAGGCAGAGGCAGACAAAACAAAAATTAAGAAATGAAACACAATAAACGGCAACACCAACGCAGGAAGCAACAGTCGGGTCCGTCCCATCCCGATCCCGATCCTCATCCCCATCTCCATTCCCACCAGTCGTTGCTGCGCGTTAAACAAACAGAAATTAATTATGTTCCGATGCAAGTAGTAAGCAGCAAGAAGTAAAAGATACAAAACAACCTCAACGGCCTGCTAAAGTGAAATGAAATTATTTTGTAGCATCGCATCCCATCGCATCGCATCGTATCGCACCGTCTGTCTGTTTATAAGAAAAATATGTTTTTGTTTGTTTTAACGCGCATTCGAGTTGCGTTTCCTTTGCACATGTGCAGCAGCGCTGCTGAAGAGATGCGTATCTGCAGTTGTATCTGTGTATCTATGTATCTGTGTATCTGCAAGACAAGAGAACGGATGGAGCAGTCAACTAAAGATGCTCGCCTGCCTGCTTGCTTGCCTGCTGCCTTGCTGGTTTGCTTTGGAACATTCACTTCAGCTACTTGTAGGCTGATTTTATTTTTGGAAATGCTTGCGTATAATTTAAATTAATTTGCTCTAGGCGCAGTACTGACTGACTGACTAGCAGTGCACTCAGAGAAAAAACGTGCCAAATTCTTTAGAAAATTGTTGGCATAAGCTTACCTTTGAATATGAATATTTTTAATGGAGGATATAAATTGAATGCCGGTGAAGAGCTTCTTACCCTTGACGTTACCAAAAAAATTGTTGAATTCTTCGCAATATTGTTGGGGAATCTCCTCAACAAGATGTTTTAAAGTTTGAATTTAAAATATAATAAATCTATTTATACATGAAGTTTCTATATATTTTCCCTAGCATAGACAAAACCAGACTAGAAAAAGTTTCCTGTTCTTAAAAGACTGTTTTACTAAGTAAGAATAATAATAAAATTCATAACAATTTTTGATCGCTATTTTTCTACATAATTATCTAAAATACTTATCCAAGTGTACATGCTGCTTCAGATACCTTTAGAACATTTGACTGGAAAGGCATGCTAGGCAGCGCACATTTATGAAATACTTTTTGTACGCCATTGCATATTTTAATTTCTTGTGGCTTGCTCGCTTCTTTTTTCTGGCCTGCGCACTTTTTAATTAGCTTGACATTTTTATTTTTCTAAATTTTGTTCGTTTTTTTGGCTTTCTTGCTGCTGAACTTGTCTGGCTGTCTGCGGTTTTTTAGGGTTAACTGCGCGTAGATTGATATCTTCAAGTTCATTAGAGTTGCAAGTTGCTTTAATTGGAAATATGCAGAGACGACGCATCGGCGAGGCTGCACGAGCACCGCAAGACCCACAAGCACCA